ATGGGTCTCATGTCATCCATCCTCTTATCCGTCGACATACATTCATTCATCCTTCTATCCTGGTAGACTACAATCTCCCCCATCTCAAACACTCCATCGTATCATTCTTCCCGTCCAGCCCGCCCATCCTCGCAATTTCACTGCCAGGCCCGTGCTGGATTTGACGGGCCAGAAGCAGTGGAATCCTGTGCCGATCCACCCGTCCCATTTCCCTTTTCCATCTCCATACTCTATTTACGGAGTACGGGGTACATCTCCGAAGTCGTCCATGTCTTTCTCCTACGACTCCTGTCTAATTAACGAGTCTCAAAAACTAGATATATGCATGTCATCAACGTCCATAGTCTACCAAGGGATGTGATCGGTAGTCTGCTACCTCTTTGGGAAGCCAAACATTGCGCTAGATATCCCTAATCTGGCAGGTGACTTGCCCAAAAGTCTCTGGCAGGTCAATCCACGGAAAGCCTCCGATACACGAGCTTGCCGAGGCCTTTTCCTTTCATCCCGGCCATTCCAGCTCGGAACCTTACTATCACCACTCAGAGCCCTTCAATAATCACAAGTCAAGTTCATTGTTGTCCCTCTGGTCGGGAATTTCCATGCTAGAGCCTTGTCTTCCTAGCTACATCTCCCTCGGGCTTTGTACTACCAATTGAGAGCTCGGTATAAAAAACTACAATTCTAAATGATATATCCAGACATCAGCATCTTCTTTCGAAGTTGGAGTAGAGAAACACCATGAAATCATTAGGTCAATGCAATGAGACAGTGAAGCACTCTTAAAAATGTCAATAGATAACCATGAGCAGTACTAACAGAATCGGACTGACCTTCCATTTGAGCTCCTTTTCCTACAAAGTATGAATGATTCAGAATGGCAATGACGATCCACTTACATAAGCAGCACCTACCCCAGCAACCAAAGAACTATTCCTGATTAGGAAAGGTATCAATAGCCCTGGTAAGCATCAGTGGCTTCCACCGAATCTCGCCGCAGCTGCTGCTCTCCTCAATCTTGGGCACATTCTTGAATATACGCGGGCGCTAGGCTCATTGAGCCACTAGGACCAACTCTATCAGGATTACTCAACCCTCACACTACCACATCACCATGCTATCCCCATCCTCACCTGTTGTCGCGGCCGACAACACAACCCCTGGACAATGGATATCGAGACCAGCCACCAGAACACGCACAAGCACACAGAGAAAGGTGTACGGGAAACGAAGAGCGGATGCGCCTAGGGCAGTATTTGAGCAGCGAAGTCCAGCCAAGGATTTGGAAAAGGAAGCGAAAAAAGCCGTTCGGGGTGCTGTGGAGGGCCTGAGAGAGAAGCTGGCTGAGGTTACGATAGACGAGCCTGTGTCTCAAGAGACAGAGCCGAAGGAGCCGGAGGAAAAGGAGGTCGAGGTCGAAGAAGTTGACGAGAAGGACATCCAACCTAATGAGACTGAACAAGAAACACCTATGCCGGAAGCGACACCCGCCCCTGTAACCGAACCGCAAGACGAGCCATCCCCGTCCGAACAGCTGTCGCACGAAATCACAAAGTATGAGACGATGGTCGAAGTGAGGATTAGCCCGACGGTGTCTGTCGAGAGACCTCGAAGGCGCAAGCAAGCTACCGAAGGAACAACAGAGAGCGGGCGGCGATCTGCAAGAAAGGACAAGCCAGCACCGCGACTATCATCCGGCTGCGTCACAGACGAGAAGGCAAATGCCTACGTTCGGCCAATTCTTAACGAAGCCTTATCCCCGGTCGCCGCGCAGAGCGTACAAAAATTTGGATCATGGGCCGCCCGGGCAGGCAACTTGTTAGAAGTGGTGAAGATCGCAGAGGGTTCCTACGGAGAAGTCTATAAATTACGTCTGCGGGAGGAGCTGTGCAAAAAGGAGATGTCCAAGTCCAAACTTGCGCGCTTAAAGGCTTACGGTGATGGCGTGTTCAAGGTGGTCCCTCTGCGCGCGCAGAGTGGCCCTGGTTCGAAGAGATTCACTAGCATCGAGGAAATTGTCTCCGAAGTAAAGATGCTCAAGTATCTCGATCCCATTCCCGGGTTCGCTCGCTTTCGGGAGATCCACGTCGTTCAGGGTCGCTTCCCAGAGAACTTTCAAACGGCGTGGGACTACTACAAGAAGACCAAGGACGACTGTCTGAACCCAAACCCGTCTAGTAAACGGGCCTACCCCGACTCACAACTCTGGGCAATCATTGAGATGGACGATGCTGGCTGTGAGCTGGAAAAGTTCTCCTGGTCATCCATCTTCCAGATCTACGACATCTTCTGGGGAGTCGCAATGGCTCTTGCACGGGCGGAGGAATACGCATTGTTCGAGGTTCGCACCCAACCCCGAGAAATACCAAATCACCATCACTAACATAACCACAGCACCGAGATCTCCACCTCGGTAATGTCTGCATACGAAGCACACGCCCCGAAGGCCGCATGGATCCACCGACCGACCACGAAATCATCAGCCAGTCATTCACAAGTGGCTTCGGACTCAGCACCCTCGAAACCACCATCATCGACTACTCCCTCTCCCGCGCCGCGTTACGCATGGGCGAAGAAGCAGAGCACGTCGAAGTCGCCTCTTCGGATCTCGACAAGAAACAAATCTTCGACGCCATCGGCCGCGACGAAGACGAGATCATGCTACGGAATACCTACAGATAGTACGTACCCTTCTCACCAGACTACAAACATCCCCAATAAGATATCCGGCCTAACTAACAACAACCAACAGCATGCGCGCCGAAGTCTACCACGGCGAACCCCTCAAGACCGAAAAATCCCCGGACATCCCAGGCATCTGGGCCGAATACGCCCCACGAACCAACCTCGTCTGGCTCGTATTCCTACTCAAGTCCCTACTCAAGAACAGAAAGAGCGAGCCAGTAGCTACGGCACCGACTACACCTGCTCGACAGCCTCTTGCGGCCTGCTCGCCTAATAAAGGTCTGAAGAAGCAGGTAGCGAAGTCTCCGCTGGAGAAGATCAAGCAGCAGCACCAGCATCAGCTGGAGTACAGGCCAAGAGTGACGGCTGCGACGCAGGAATATATCTCTCAGTTGAAGAAAACGCTGGAGGATCGGTTGCAGGCTGTTCTGGAGTTGTTGGATTTGGAGAGTGGGCATGAGGATATGTGTTGCGCGGCGGACTTGGTGGCGTATGCAATTGATACGCAGTGGTTGGATGAGAAGGATTTCTTTTGAGTTGTGCTCAACTGTATAGCATTGCATTGGGGGTGTTGGGTTTGGACGGAGTTGTGGTGATATTTATTTCAAGCATCATGGTATAGATAAATTGTTGGGGCGTTTTCGGAGGATCGGTTATACTACAGGATATATATATTTACGTTTATATCTAATACACGGTTTACAGACTTCAACAAATTTGAAAAGGAGCAAATGAACATAGAAGCGTGACTCGCATGCAAAATATATAACATTCTACACTGACTGCACCACAACACCCCCAACCAACACATCTAACGATACCAAAAATCCATCGGCTCCCCCAGGCAATCTGCCACAGTCGTAGCTAAACACAACAATCATTAGCACCACTCTCACTCACAACACATCCCAAATAAAATTCCAGGAAGGAGCAACGTACCAACCAACCCCCTCCTCCTACTCTCCTCCAACATAACCCTCGTCAAAGTCCAAACCGTCTGGGCATGGGTATCATGCGCCAACACCACCGTCCCGCCCGCCTGCACTCCCTCCACAAAGTTCCTCACACTCTCCCCAATCAACCAGGGCGTATTATTCTCATAGTCCTTGGTATCCACACTCGCCCCGATAACATGGTATCCGAGGTCCGTCATCAATGCGAGGATGCGTCCGTCCACGGCGAGGAAGGGCGGGCGCATATAAGTCGGGACTCGACCGATAAAGGTCCGGAAGAGGGACTCGAGGGTGTTCATTTCGTTGATGATGGTGGGGTTGTCGAGGGCGGGGAGGAAGGAGTGGCCGAACCTAAGTACTTAGTATAGATGGTAACTAAGATGGTGGGATGAACTTACGTGTGTGAGGCTATTTGGTGCCCTTCGTTATAGATACGTTGTAAGATGGGAGCACTCTCCTGAAGTCGGTAGCCGTTCACGAAGAAGGTGGAGCGTGCGCCGTATTCGCTGAGGAGGTCGAGAAGCTGGGGGGTGTAGGTTGAGGGCCCGTCATCGAAGGTTAGGGCGATGGTGTTGGGGACGGTGCAGTGCGTGATTAGTATCCCGTAGGGGACGGCGGAGGAATGATGGGCGGTTCCGTTGATGGGGTGGCTGTAGCTAATGTGAGGGAGGAGGGAGAGGATGGTGAAGATGAGGGCGAGGGTGGTTGCTAGGAGGTTGGTCATGGTATATGAATAGGATAAGGATAGATGAATGAATGGGGTTGGTTATGGATAGGGAGGGATGGAGGGTGTAGAAGAGTGATATGACTAGGCGGTTGTGGTCAATTGAGGATGGTTTGCTTTTAGGTATACCATGTTGGGTGGCTTGTCTTGCTGAATGTACAGTAATTGGGAAGGAATAGAGGTTGAGGTTGCTGGAGGAAGGCTCAAGAGGGTATCTGGGATGGGAAGGAGTGGTATCTTCTTTCCTCGATTGGTGTGCTTTTCTGGGTTTGTATAATAGCCACATGAACATGCTGCATTTTTGACGTTAGCTGGTCTGTTCAGTAGACGATAGGGTAATAGTCACTCGAGTTACTATATATCAGGAGAACATATCATCCAGGCAGACTCTTCGAATATCAACTCCTCGTATCGCCCTCATTTTCATTTATAAATATAACAGTTCGATGCAGTGTCAAATACACTACAATCTATCCTTAGCATGGCCTCAATTCTGGAATGACTTTCTAAACGCATCTAGACCTCTGGCAATATTCATACTGCATTGATCCTGAATCCTGGATTTATGTTGCGCTAACTTACAAACCATCTAGTCTAACAGACGCAGAGCAAAACAACCAAGCCACCGCCAGCTAGCACAATTACAACTTGCCATAAACCTTCACTCTCTCCTCAACGGGCTTCTTCGGCTTCTCCTGACCCTCTACTCCGGGGCTACCAAACACCAACTGAGAGATAAGCCTCCAGTCAGTAGGAATCTCCCACTGCTTGGCCACAGGAGCATCGATAAGCGGGTTATAATGCTGCAAGTTGGCACCGAAGCCAAGAGATTCAAGACCGATCCACACTGCATCCATTAGCATTACGAATCCCAAGTCACAATTAAAGCAGGGCCAAAGACATACAGAAGTACTGATGCATAGCATTAGTATGGTGGGCCCAAGGCTCAAACTGGTCCTTGTAGGTAGGGAACTTCTCCTTGAAAGGCTCGATGTGCGCGGGATCTTCATAGAAGAGGATCTAACCACTCAATTAGCACGTAGTCCCAACATACACCCACACAATTAGAAAACCACTTACAGTTCCCAATCCATTCTTAAACCCCTGCAGCTTCGGCTGCGTCTGATTCTTCCACATCTCCTCAGGCAGCGTCCCCTCCTTCACACGGGCCTGGAACAAATCCATTGTAATATCCCAAAGGCGCTCATGCTCCTTATGCAGCAGAACAACCAACCTCGTCGACTGCGTATTAAACGCACTAGGAACATTCAAAATAGCCTGATTGACAAGCTCCTCGATCTTCTCGTCCGGCACGGGGCTATTCTTCCCGAGCTTGTAAATGGAATGGCGACCCTTGGCCAAATCCACGAGCGCACCAGAGCTAGGCATTTGAGAAGGCATCTTCACTGACCCAGTAGACGAAAACGATCTAACAGCAGAAGTAGCAGCAGCAGCAGCAGTAGTAGTCACCAAAGGCGAAGGCGTATTAACAGCAGCAAATCCAAACAACGAAGAAGATGACGATGAACGGAAAACCCGACGAGCAAGAACCCTCGGGACAGCCATGATATTTGTATGTGTCGTCGCAGCAAAGAGATTAATATTATTCTTCTCGGTAAAGACCAATAATGCAAGTCCCGCTAGACAAATCCCGATCAATCCCAGGAGATGTAACCGCATGATCAACAACAACAACTACACCTTTCTCTTCCGCCGTTAAAAGCATCCGCGGAAGTAAGAGGCGAGGGCGGCGCGGAATTACGGATGAAAACGCTTATTAATGGACAATAATGATTACTCTACCAACCTAACTACTTTGTAAGTTACTTGGATAGTTAACTACTTGGACTGTGGCTGATTGGTAAGGGCAAAGACTTCCTCCGCTTTGAAAGAAGATTGATGTCAATTGTGGGGTTCTATTACTTTTGATTATTGCATGGAGTTAAGTAGTAGTCTTGTCCTTCTCCTTCTCTGGGCTTCGAGGTCGGTCGGTGAATTGGGCCTCCGTTCGGGGTATTCGGTCGGATGTCCCGATGCTGGCTTTGGGTAAGCGGGTGACGTCATTTACTTGGTGGGATAATCGCTGTGTTGATAATAGAAAGAGACTAAGCTGAATTATACTAGAGACGCAGATACTACTATGAGATGATATCAAGTACTGTGGTGTATACATTATTTCAATAAAATCATGGGTAAAAGGTGAATCCCCAAGTAACTAGTGTACACATCAAGCAAGAACCATGACCGAAATCGGAAAAGAGATGCATCAAATGTGTAGCAAGACGTATCACTGACCCTCCCTGCCCCGATCAAATGCAAGCAACATAATAATGAAGCAAATATGCCAACCGAACATTAAAAAGTGAGTAAAAGCATGATATCAAAAGCACGACGCACGAGAAAGGAAGAAAGAGAAAGGCCGTCAATCATTACCGTGCGACATTCCATAATGGGTCGCCTGGTGCATACCTCAATAGGGTACTGTGAACCCCTAATCATCGCAGCTGCTATTGCAGATTGTAGCTGTAAGACGCAGGAAATAGTGCAAGACAAGTTATTACGGACCCCTATATCGAGGACTGCGAATGCGCCCGTGGACTCTGCTGAGCACACTCGCTTTCCGATACGTTGTTCTTGGCCCCTGCGTACCAGTCCTCCACGATCAATTGGTGCTCCAGGTCCAGCCAGTACTTGGCTTTCCCGCCAGCCCCGGTTTTGAGGTCCAAATCCCCCAGCCTAATCTCCACACGGCCGGAATCGTCGCGTGGCATCTATGCTGATGTTAGCGGACACGTGGCGCGCCGGTGAAAGCTATGGATGTACCTACCCTTATGAACATTGTACAGTCTCGCAGCGTCATCGCAAGCGACTTATCGCGCGAACTTGGCGGTGGACCATAAAGCCCCACATCCTGTAAGGCTTTCTGATGTGTCAGGAGCCTCTGCAGCGTTCCATTTCGATAAAGTACTTTTGCCAGCCGTGGCTGATCTTTGCATCCCTTGACAAATTGGGCCGCACGAAGGACATTGTCGAACCTGTCAGATACCAGGTCGAGGGGGCAGAATGATTGTTCTTCCGCCAATCCCTTCTTGCGCGCCTTTTGGTTCTTCATATCGCGGAGTGCGCAGGTTCGGCATCTCCGGGAGTTTGGGGGTGCAGAGGGGGATTGAATTAGCCACTTAGGTTTCAACTCTGAGAGCGTCGTTCCGGGAATGCTGAATGTAGTCATGTCTGTTATGAGTAGCCCAAACGGCTCCACCGTAGAGAGGTACACCCCTTGGCGTCGTTTTGGACGCTGGCCGCTTCGCTCTGCTGCCTGTAGCTGTTCATTGCACCCTTGAACGAGCCCTCTGGGGAGATAAACGAGCTCCTGATCAACCAGCTCTTCTGGTTTGAAAAGAGGACGAATGCATGTGTCAAAATTGCGTGCAATCTCCTGATAAGAGATGCCTGCACTCGTATCCTTGCGAAGTCGAAGCAGTTTACCCTTAAACTTGGCAGGCACTTGGAATGTACCCGTTGTGCTAGGTAGTGAGTTGGAAACAGCCACAGGGAGGTCATTTCTTCCATCAAAGTCCATCTGTGCTGGAGCGAGGATTCGATAGATGACATTGGCGCCGCCTTCCGCGAGGTAAACGAGCCGAGCTCCTACTGGGAGCTCTAGTAGATTGGGCTTTGTCATTGGTCAGGTAAGTGGATGATGAACAATGACGATGGTAGTAGACTGAGGAAAAAACCATGACAAATGCCACAAGCAGATGTCCGCAAGAATGCTACAGCCCTGGTTAATATAGTAACAGCAAACGTTCTAGCTCCGTGGTATGCGCGCAACGTGATGTATAGAGTCACGTGGGCTTGAATTAGTCCCGCAAGGAAAAAGTCCGAGGCGCAGCAGGCAAGAATTCAGTGTGCAGTGGAAAAGGGAACATGCAGCCTCTTCATGTACGCAGATGCAAATCACTTAAAACGGACACTGGGCCTTCCAGGGGGATGGATAAGCGTCCAGCGCAGCGCGAGCCTGAACGTGGAGAGAGAAAGGTAGCTGATCTAAAATACTAGTTCAACAGCCGGGCGAATCTTGTCTCTTCAGCTGTCTCTCTTTCAGACCAGTCTTCACACTTTTTGCAAGTACGGAGCCTCGTTACAAATCGGCCAATTGGCTCTCAGCGGATGGGAGGATAGGCTGCTCGATGAAATCGAACGGACTGTGCCCACTATTCTCAGGTGATCGATCTCAGTAATTAAGGCCTACTCAATCACCCGCACGGCAAGTGATGAGCTCAGGGATTCTGGAGGGAAATCCCCCAACCCGATTGCGTCTAGTGGCAACAGTCGCTAGATCTGGGAAGGACGAGCCTTGTGCAGGGATTAGGTCGTCGCAGCCCCGTGGCGCTTGGCCGTGCGAGCCTTAGGCGGATCCCATGCCAATCATATCACGGCGCGCAGATTTATCTCGAAAGGTCTCAGTATTGTTACCACGCCGCGCATCTGACGCTTCAAGCGACACGAGCAGCTAGCCAATACTGTGACAAGATAAGAAAGACTTCGTAAATGAGAAAAGTAACGAGTAGTGGTTACCGTCCGAAGCGAAATCTGGGTGAGCGCTTAAACGCAAGGCGTCGGGCACGCAAACGTCGACAGAGCCCGGGTCCTGGATGCTGCACCGCGACGAGAAGAGGCGGTCAGAAACGTGGACAGCTGAGCAGACGCTGGTTGGAGGTCGAGGGTGAGGAGTACAAGGTAGATAGAGTTGACTGAACGTCACGGAATATGCTAAATCATGCGAGCGATACTGCCGTAGTCGCTAGTGAACTATCGGGACAAACTAACGAAGCGCACTGGAAGACAAAACGGTCGGACCAGCAGGGCTGCGTCACACCCGGTCGGATGGGCTGTTCAGAAGGAGAGTCCACCAACTGAAAGAGAAGAAAGTGATCTCAGCTGAAAGTGAAATTGATCAAGGAGGGTGAGAGAAGCCAGTGAGGATAGGAGATTGGCCACGAGGCAAAAGAAGTCGATAAATCTAGGTTGGTGAATGCGAATTTGGTACCAGAGGGGCGGACCGAAACAATTGCAGTTGACAGACGACCCAAGTAAGGGCCCAGTGCGATTTGACGATTTGAAGGCGTTCCTCCTTCCCGTTTTATCTTGCCAGAGCCTCGAGCACCTCCTTTGTCTTCTCTGCAGGCCATTGTTGGCCATATGTCCTCTTGTCAGTTGTGTTCCCCCCTCATAGGAACTGGGTGGGACAATTATTATTGACTTGTTCTTTGAAAAACCAGAAATAAGAGCAAGGAATAAAAAGAGGGTCACCAAAGGGAAAATCGGACAAACGATTCGCTAGTAAAACTAGCATCTGCCCCAGGATCGTTAGATCCAGATCCATCTTCCCACACCCACAGCAGTAGTCTAGTCTAGTTGATAGTGAGTCTTAGGGACATCCTCGGCCGTCGGCCCAAATTTAGTATAAACCGGTCATGATGCTGCTGGAGGCGCTGGAATCCGGGGAAGAAGGAAGAGCAAAAGAAAAAAAAAAGCAAACCTGCATCGAAGGAGCACTAATTCCTCCCGGTCGGGTTTCGCCAGGGTAAAGTTGGCTTCAGATATGAGACCTCACAAACCGATCGTCATCCACAGCAACGCATTGTGCTCAAGATACGTCCTTCCACTTGGTTCTGGTGATGTGTTGTCCGCGGAAACGTACAGATCTTCGCTGGAGGAGTTGTCTTCCTCAGAGACCGGGTGGGATTATATTCCACCATAGAGAAGCGAGTAACGAACAATTCCGATGATTATAAGCCAGTAGTACTTAGCCAATGCGCATCTCCTGATAGAGTGGTGTAATGTCAATGCGAACTGATTGCAAGTCACGATTGCCCCTCCGGCCGCCGTTAAGGCCCCGCGCTTGCTTGATGAACTCCTCTCCTCACTGCCCGCCAAAAAAGTGGCTGGCTGCTTCCACTTGTCAATCCATTCCCATCCTCCAGTAGAAAGCATTTTCTCACGCAATCAGATCCTCAACTCTATTTGGTTTGAATATTATTCATTTTACTACTTACCATCTTATTCCAAATCTGGTTCTGCACAACAAATATGGCCGAGACATCCTCATCCATCCCGACTCCCCCGCACTGCACCGCCGATTTCTGTTTGATCCCAGTGGGTTACTCCATTCCTTGCAACTATCTAGTTCTTTTGCATCATGCTGCTTGACTACTCCCGCATCTTACCCATGCAATCATTACCTGGTTCATGGATGAAAGTGACGTGACACATTCATTCATTCAATCATTCCCATCATGTCCGTCCAGCGTCTATCAATCATTCCACATGCATACCCACGAACCGCAAACCTTTAACCCATAACCCCATATGCATTCTCCAACTTTAGTAAACTTCGCTAAAAACCTACACTACACTACACTAACGATAATAGATCGGCACCTCATCCCCTTCCGTGTCCGCCCAAATCGCCGATGTTCAGCGCCTTATTGAGAAATCCGGCCTGAAATACGTCATGCATTCAGCTGGCACCACCCTCGGTATGTAGTATACCGCTCGCTATT